TGATACTGCCGAAACGTCAGCTAGCGTTGTATTGTATTGTTTTTATGGAAGTAAATGTATGCTGTTTAAAAACCTCGCGATTGCTGAACAAGAAAACGACACATTCATATTCCAATGCCGAGGTTAAGAGAAAGTCGATCCTGGGAACTATTTGAAACTGTTCAAAAGATAAATCTGCATAGATGTTCTTACGTGCTGCACTTTCTTAGCAGATGCGAGGTTGGAATACTACATCGTTGTTGTTGTCTTTTAATGGCTGGTGTTCTAGCAATTTCGCTTTCCTCAGAGCCTGGACGTATCATATGTAACAGGTGTCCCACAATTCGGAGAATTAGATAGCACGAATGAAGATCCAGCATATGAAAAGACGCCAGTTTTCAAGAACAAACCACCTTGGCATTGGACCACCTATGTGTTCGTGTATTTTTCACGAGGGATGACAAGTGAGACCTACCCATGGCGATGTGCATCAAAAAATCTTCCCCAAAAAGGTGCCGTACAACGTGTGATAGTGATGCATTCGTGAGATCCAGACATTCACTTCAAAATCATCACCATTATGTTATTGTGCCCTACATGTACCTAGAAAAGTAGTCTATCGAATTTTAGCTTTCCATTTAGATGTTCTTTTATGCGGAGACAAAGCGGGAGCGAATGCAATCCTCATCCTTCCCGTTAGGACAGATTACACAGTTTTCTGAGCTGCACGAACGATCACAGAGACAGTTGCGAACTAGCTGATTACGTAGAGTACTGGGTGGTAGATCAATAACTGCCACATAATATTGAAGACCACTTCTTCTAAGGAACCTCTTTACGGTGTAACCCAGTTCGTTTGAAACGAAGGGTAGCTTGGAAGGAATCTTATTTGGGTTTGGAACACTATTTCGAGGAATAACCATGCATTTTGGTCTGATCCGAGTGGCATTTTCGTCGTATTCATTGGAAACGGCTAGTCTTTGTTTTTGCCAATTGTTTTGGGTTAAGTTTAGCGATTCCTACCTTTCCTCTTCTCCTATTCATTCATTTTTAGCTGTTCGCTACTTGTATTTGATGACAGCTATTTTTTCATGTGTGAAGGACGACAGGAAAGGTAGTGCATTAGTATAATTTTACTACTTGGTTTTTGATGCCATTTTGTTATGTAGCCACTTTCTAGAAACTTCATTTGAATGTTGAAGAATAGAAGCCGGTTTTCGCGTGGTTTTTCCCACGTAAATTTCATGTACTCCGACTGTCCGTTCGACAATTTAAAGCACTCGTCCATCTGTTCTTGTGTAGAACGGACGACAAAGCGGAGCCACTGTTACATATGATACGTCCAGGCTCTGAGGAAGGCGAAGCCGCCGAAACGTCAGCCAGAGAAAAGACAACAACAACGATATAACATATAACAAACTCGCGTCGGCTAAAAATGCAGATCGTAAGAACATATATACAAAAACCGATTGAGAACAGCCATTATTGAGTGGATTCCACGAGATGTGTCAAACGAGCAGCTGGAGGAGTTGCGGACCCGATGGATACACTTCTTTACGAAAAATCCTAGGAGAAATATATGATGATAAACGAGCCTCTAAACCGAGCAGAAATCACTGGACTACTTTCGCACGCGACGGGAACAAATGAAAAGCTTGTTCGCGTGCGCTCGAATAACTAGATAATCAACGGGGCGACACATGATACAGGTGATATGCCTTCCATTTTTATCACCGCTTGCGAAATTTCCGAATTATTAGGCTTAGAATATTGCTTTTCGAGACCGCTCTCGACAGAGCTAATGCGATAGAAAAACTGGAGCACAAAACATCAAATTCTTTGCAGTAGAATAAACAGCTAAGCGCAATGTGCATTGAAATCAGAGCGCAATCTGCCACGCGTATACATTGGAATTAATGCATAGAGTAGCAAAGGTGTTAAAAGAAAGTCCCTGTCTTGGGCACAGAAATTCTGCGAACGTGACTATCGTTATTTTGTGGTGGCTGATGCACAGTGATCTTCCCTTAAGTGTACCTTAACAGAACTTTTAGTACTAACTTTCACTGGTCGTAGTTGATTACTGGCTAAGTTTTACTGATAAGGTTAGATGAGATTGCTGGAAGTCTTCATTGTGGCTAATACTTCACAGGTATCGCCTTTTCCACAGATGCATGGAATTCGAGTTGAGTGTCCACAAAGTTGTTTCTGTAGTAAATGCGATGAGAACCTTCGGGGTCCTGGTGCCGTATCGAGTGGAATTGAATAGAGTGGGCAATAGAGCGAATGAAGTAACACCAATCAGCGTTGCGTCTTTATACAGGGCGGTTAATACCAGGCTAGAATGACCTCTCCAGGCAGTTTCCCAGTATACAGGAAGCTTCTTTGTCAGCTGTCATCCAGAGTTATTTGTCTTGACTCGTTGTGATAATTGCGAAGATTTTAACAACAATCGTACATATAGCCATATTATACATAAATATGCATACTTTTTATGGCATTTTTGACTAAATGATACGAAGCTATCAATAAAGCGGCTATTCCACAATGGCTAGCAGTCCACTTCGGCCGACTTCGCCTTCTCTCAACGCCTTGAGAATATCATAATAAAATGCCGTCCTCAGCCAAATACTTTTACGACTCAACTAAAAGACCGTAGCACTAAATTTTCGTTCCATCATGGCTTGTTAACACCCATCATGCTTACCAAGCACTTTTCAACAGCTGAGACTATCTCAAGAGAGTCCGGATATAAATCTGAATGCAGCGTTCCCAAATGAATTGACAGCTGAAGCTACTACGCCTGTGAATATTGCATCTGTTATCCACGTTCAGAATGAGTATTGGCGTCAATTCAAAACTCCGACATTTTTGATCAGTAATGTCTTGCCTTCGTGTATAACCTACACTGCAACGAAATGTCGTTTAGAACAAGCATTGAGCATTCTATAAGCAATAAATGCTTCCACATTTAAAATTGGAAGTGAAGAAAAAAGCGTGACTGACGTCCAGTATTTCAAGCATTTTTTAATATCCTAAGTTTTTTCTAGAAAACTCGCGCCACTTGTACTTTACCCGAGGTATAATTGGTATTTAAACGTGATTTACAACTACCTTCTGAAGACACGAGCCAAACTGTTTTTTCTGCGATTTCGAGCTATTTAATCGCCAAAAGTGTGAAACGTGAAACCTTCACGTAGCAGTTCCCATGACAGACTTTCTGTTAACCCCGGCATTGATTGATAGTTCGATGCTTTTCTTCAATAAACAGACACGAGGTTGTTATTATAGAATTTATTAGGATGCAATAGCTGACGTTTCGGCGGTTTCGCCTTCTTCAGGGCCTGGAAGGGTCAAATTGAGATGTGATCTACTCAGCCAAACACTTTCATAACCCCAGCAGATAAAACCTAACAAATAAATTTGTATTCCCATAAGAAACAGCTTCATTTAAACACCTACCGTTTATTTGTTGTAAGTATTTAAGTTAGTTGATGGATAGTCGCCGCACAGAGTAATACATGGACGCCAACTGTCTGTGTCAGGTCATTGGATCAGCCTGAGGTATGGCGCCAGGTCACGCGTGATGACAAGACACTCCTTGCAGGTTCATTTTCGAATTTTTGGAATTAATCCAAAACGCTTCAAGAGTTTTAAGCGCTGATGTTTTCGATTCGTGCGTGAGGATATTGACTCCTATTTCAAAATCTTCTCCGTTGTGTTCCTACATCTTATGCGCGCCCAGCGGAGTGTTTGGTTTTAATTTAGATTTATCGACCAGGTGTTCTTTTATGCGGGCGCAGAGCGGTCTACCCATTTCGCCAACTTATTCGTCTCCGCGCGCTTTACAAGAGATTAGTTACATCGTACCCAACCCATGCAACCACCGTCTTTACCGTTAGGGCAAATTATGCAGTTTCTCGTTGTACATAGACGGTCATAAAAGCGGTAGCGAACTAGCTGACGTCTTAGTGTCCGGTGCTATTTATATGTATCACTCTTGCGGAATTCTCTAGACCGGCCCTTATTAAGCAACGTTTTATAGCTGCACTTATTTGGTTTGAAATAAAGGCAAGAGGAACGGAGTCTTGTTTTCGTTAGAATTATCTCTCTGGGGCATGGTGTTTACTCTACGCCAATACGAGAAGCTACAGTTTCATAACCATTTGAAACGGCTATTTGGCTCGCCAGTTTCGAGGATTCTTCCCTATGCTCTCTACCTGTGCACACGCTGGAGGCGGTTCGAAACATATTCCTTATAAGCGCTCTTTTAGTGTGTGAGGGATGAGAAGAAAGGTAATGAACCACTATATTCTTACTGTTTGGTTTTCGATACCATTTTGTGATGTAACCGTTTTCGGATGGGTCGATTTGAACATTTAGAAATGGAAGCCAGTTTTCTTTCGGTTTCTCAAGGGCAAATTTTATGTGCTCTGACTGTTCGTTCAATAACTCAAAACATTTGTCCATTACCTGTTGTGTGGAGCAGATGGCAAAACAATCATCTATATACCTACGGTAGAGTAATGGCCTGAGAACGAGAACAGGGGCTTATATCTTAAACATAAACACAAGGGTTGGTGCCAGTCGATGTCCCATTGCCAACTCTCTAATTTGCGCGTAATATTTCCCGGGCCATCTGAAGTTTAAACAGACCTTTAGGAGTACCATAAGCTGCTAATAATTCTAGCGAAAACAAGGCTCCGTTCCTCTTACCCTTTGTTTCAAA